CGGTCAAGTGCTGTCTGTTGACCGATCTGTAGTAATGTGCGAACATTGAGGCATGCCAATCTGAAGGAGGATCGAGGGCTCCAAATGGAAGCCGATGAACTGGAGTGGACCGCCTGGTTGGACATGGGCTTGTCGACAGGAGAGGAGTGACGCTCCGCGTTAGCATGTGAGTTGCAATTAGAAGATAAATGGCTAGCAAAGCATGTCGGGGGAGGGCCAAGAATCGGGGGTTGAAAACTGGGGGGATATAAGTGAAGTTGGAACGAGACGGTAAGAGTGAAAAAGCGTAATATGGGGAATAAGAAGACAGGAAGGCTTGAGCAGTAGCATCCAAACCCCTATCCACCCTGCTCGATGCAGCAGATAGGGCACCGTTGATTATCCTCTGCGGTGGCCAGAGCATCAGCAATTTGTTTGAAGTGAGATTCATAGTATTGCTTGGGCACGATACTGTCAGGTTGCCCAGGCCTAGACAGGAGAACGAATAGGGTTCTCAACCAAAGTCTTTGGTTCAAAAACCTGACCGCAAGGCAGCGGGTTTGGCACTGGGCTACAAGGAGTCCGTTTCGAGGAAAAAGGAGCCACCTTCAATGCATACCCCAACCTGGAGGATCAGGAGGCTGAGTTTGTCTGGCCTCTAACCATTGACCAATCTGGTATGAGTGACTCTGAAGGTGCAAAAGCACCACCCAGCATAGCTCAATGGATCGCTGAGGCACACAAACCATCGCACCACTGTAAGGTCTAGCCTTCCGCTCACCACTGGCTCTGCTATCCGGTCAATATCTTCCCTCGGCTGTTCATGTGAAGGACCTAGCTGTGGGCTGTAGTCATCTCAACGAAGACACGCCGAGCCAGAGGCAAATTACATCCCTTCATTGCCGTTGCGTTTGTAGCCATCAAGAAACTCTCTCGCAGATTCTTCAGTCACGTGCTGTCACGCATGATGCTGATTGTAAAAGGCTACATCACCAAACAGCTTGTGACTGCAATCCGCTGTCGGGGTATTCAAATTACACCGGAATTGAGAATACGCATTGTGAACCCCTATCAAACCCGATCTGCTTGCTGCTAAGGAGACTACCGCGTATGTTATGGACGTTGTTATCGGTGACAGATCGTATGGAAAGAACATAAAAACTGAAAATTGACAGACGTGGTGTCGATCCGTATGCAGATGCGATCTCCAGATATGTATGGTCAAAATTTCTGCAAGTTTCGAACATTATCTATAATCCCGTGATTTTGGACGACCGCGGGACTTATTTATCCTGCTACGGCGAGACATCTTGAGTCCCTCGGTGTTTTCCTGTACGAAATTTCGGATCTGTGTGTTTCTACTATTATCAGGTCACTCAGCATGTGTGGCACGTAAATGCTTTGATTCCTCTCCCTACAGTCTGCACATAACACGCAAACGCCACTGACCAACTTGGTGTGTGGTTCGTCCGGGTCTATAAATTTCTTTGTTCCTGACTACTCTCTCTGTATTCTGCGGTGACATGGTCCTGAATTGGAAATTCGCTGTAAGCCCTAACCTTTGGTTATACACACAAATTGTCAAAACTAAACGTTATTAGTTCACTTATTCCGAAGGCTAGAACTTCGTCTTTGAGCTTACGACATCTGTGGTGCTAGAACCAGGTCCAGTTGGTCTGATAGGCCATGTAATGACACCTTCGATCTGAGGGCCTTAGGTGCTTATATTGATGTTGGGTGGCACCTGTAGTATATTCACCACAATGAGGAGCGCATGCGATGGCACTGCGGTGTGGTAGCAGATAGACTTTCGGACATTTCTTTAGCTTGGCCACAGCGCTGTATGTCTACTCCCTTCTTCTTCTTCTTCTTCTTCTTCTCGACAAAGGGCGTTTCATCACACAAGGTTCTTGGATAGCATTCGTTGACTCGGTTGTGAGAAGCAGACTCTGATGATTAGCCAGTTCTGGCATGCTTTGAAACTTGACAGAGCTAAGCTGACGCCATTGGTTTGTTGTTGTCCTCTGTGATGGTAGCTGTTGGTTTGGGTGAACGGAATTGGCGCGGCTCGGGCGGATAAAAACGTAATCGAATGCCGCTCACGCGAGCAGATCACAAGTGCACAGACTAGTGACGTAAGATGCGGTCAAGCCGCCATAACGTGATTGGAGCCCAGTCTGGTTACATACAAGTAGCAGATTAGTCTCAACAGCACGGTCGAGCCAACTAGCCTAGACTGACGACCGTCTCCTTAGCCCTCCGAGAATGCAGAACTCAGGGTCAGAATTTAGTGAGCACATAAAGAAACGTTATCTATGTGGTAAAGGTCATCATAAGTCTCTTGCGTTGACCCATCCGCTATAGGTTGGTGCCCAACGTGTTTTGCGCCTACTTAGTTCCGCACACGAGCTGCGTATTGTGCGAACACTGACTGATCCGCAGCAATTGTGCTGTGGATCGGCGAGCTGTTATGTGCTTACGTGATAAGCATTTCTCAACCATTTGCGTCCGTTCTACAGTTTAACCCATCCGTATTTAGGTCATGCTCCTTTTATGGTCACTTATGCAAGAACAAAGCACTAGCGGTGGGACATCGCATCACGACAGCGCCTGCCCATCAGAATGTGACTCATCGGAGGACGTCAGCAGCTTATCTACCTACCTTACTACCCTTGTCTCCTCGCAATGATAGGTAGTTCAAAAAGCCATATCACCTCATACCGAGTGCACTCGTTTGGGCAACACAATATTCAAGGAAACGACAAATCAGCTTTTGCGCATAGCAGCCGTGCCTACATGTACCATATTCCCGCGACGTCGATTTCACTTTTTCCCAACAACCAATTAGTCGTTTTCCATCATCGTTGTTAACACGAGCTATCGCCATTCCTGAGAATCTCTTCGTAACGCCAAGAGCAGGAATATCCTCATGTTACGTCCTCAAGTGCCATCGCCGACTGATATATCTTCAATTTGGGATCTCTATTGTACCAGGTGCCCCCAAGGTGCTTTTAGACGTGAAAGTTAGTGAGAAGCACGAACAACTACATCAGTGGTAGTGATTGCTTCACAAGTGTTCTAACTGTACATTTTGACAAGCCCCTGCTGTCCTGACCTTTCCTACATGCGTTCTGTAATCCGGATTTGTGCCATGTCTACCCTGCGGTTAATCAAGCAGACTTTGCGTATCCGTTCCGGTCCATCTATTCCCGCACTCCCTTTATAGTCCATTTCGATGTGCCTAACTTCGCTCCTATATGCAGACTTTCCACTGTCATTGACCTTCATTCTATTGTCTTGCTGCCGCGTTTCCGTTTTTACTCGCGTCGGTGCCTCTCCAATTTTCTGTAACCGTTTAACACGAAGTAACCCTTTATAGTTGTCCTTTATTTGCTCATCTGTCGTTTGTTTAGTGACATCACAGTCCACTTCCGGTTTCTCGCAGCAGCTATCTCACGCAGTCACTGATGGCCAAATTTAGGTATTACACGTTGAAGGTTGATAAGATTTAGTTTCCGTGTGCTGGCAGGAGGTCACGCGCACTCACCACATGCGGAGGTAAAGATCAGGATACTGACCTGTGAATAAGGCGATGGCTGGAGGCGCTCTACTTGTGTTGGATGTAAATCTGCGGACTTGCCGAAATTAGCTGAGAAGATTTAACTCAAAGGAACGAAAAGAAAAACGGCATGGCACGTCATGGATTTCGGACAGAAAGTCGCGTGAGTTGTGAGTGAAATCGGAGCTTACCATGACCCGGATAGCTCTTTCGCCACTAAGTGTAGTCCGAAGTAGAGGTGAGTGTCCGCACAGTCGCTGAGTACCTAGACAATTAGCTCATAACCACGAAAATACCACACGCAAAATCGGCATCTTTGAGTGCAATGCAGTACAAGGAGCGAGGGAATTTGTACACTGGAATTCGGCTAGCGAAGAACGGCAAACAGTATGGATTGATGAGACTGGCTTCAGTCTGATTTGAGGTGGCACAATGAGATGTTCAGCAACTGGCGGCCGTGTGCGGTGTGTGGCAGGCAACGCTGGTGGATAGAATCTACAATTAGTTAACGCAATGATTGTGGAGAGACTGCTGGGATTTGCCATCTTAAAGAGGAGTTACAATAGGGAAACAAGTGCAGTGTTTGCGGCTAACATGCTTGGCGCCACCGGCACCGCCTGAACTGAAGGTTGCCTTCTGATTTATCATTTCGCACTATGCCACGCAGAATGAACCTTACCGCTCAGGAGGGCTCTGCGGCGCACAGCATACTCACCAGCACTGCACCCGATTGATGTAATTATTAAGGCCTATATGCAAAAAACTATAGGACACATGCATTCCGCGATTCTCAGCGCTTCGAGTGATTGAATGTTTCATGAACATCATTTTTGACTATCAGACGGCTACACTAATGCATTTTAATCTGATTGTTAGTTTTCTGTTACATGTTACCGTGTAAGTCTGTTGATTATGATGCGAGACAGTAGAAGACACAAGAAAGCTGCCTCGTTAATGCCGCCTTGTATTCACGCGATAATCAGCTGTTTTCACCGGTGTGTTGCTCCCAAGCTATTGCGGCCTTGCTTCTGATTGTTTGTTTATGGCGTTCAGTTTTCACACTACCTTCCCTTCGCTTCCTCTTGTTACTTATCAATAATACTATCATTATACTTATATTGCAACGAATTGTCAAGTCAACGTAGAGATGTATAGGCAAGGTACACATGGACGACGCTCGATCCCCGGTTGCACTGAGTTCCGATTGTTGATTGGAATCCGCCCCACCAACTTGTTACTACTTACGTCACTTGATTGACCTTTGAGCTAAGCTTGCCGTTCGCACTCTTCTTTACTTTACCACATAATCGATAACTCCAACAGCTTGTCTCCGAGTCAATCAAATGCCGATGCATGTCTCGTTTGGCACAGTTAACGCTTTCTGCGAGATCATTCCTTCTACCATCACCCTTTGTGTCAGTCACTTAAGTGATTGAAAGTCAATTTTTTTCGTCTTCCCAAGCCCGATGACGCCGGACTCACCGCTCGTTTCGCTTTGGAGCATCATCTAGTCGGCAAATACTCTCAACTTGATGCTGCTTTCACTCCTTCCATCACACTTGTCAATTCTGAGAATAAGCAGTGCCCACGCAAACGGTTCCTGGCGGTGGCCTGTCAAGACCGACGATTGCGCATATACAACGTGGCTACCGGTCGACAGGTTCGCTGTTACCGGGGCAGCTTTAACGAGGATGGGTGTCTACTCCGTTGTGCTGTTGATCCGACTGGATCCATAGCCGCAACATCGGGTGAGTGACTCCTTATCAAGTTTGTGTTTATTTTAACCGAACCATTAATTCAGTCAAGGCTGCACCTTTGTGTTCAACGGTTTTTGATGTAGCTCACTGAAACTGCATACCAGGTGTGTGTGAGTCATTGATTTCGCTAAGCCGTCCACGAATCATTAGCAAGCTAATGCTAACGCTTCTTTGGAGGCAGATGTGAAACTGGTAGACTACTCATTGCTTATGGTACTTCCCTTCAATGATCTTCATGTTTCCTGTGTGCAAGATTCAACTAATAGCAGCGACCCTTTATGTCCCATGTCCGCTTATATTCCTGGGCAACCTGCCATCTGATCGCTTCCGCTGCTATAAACTAACCCTGCGATTTGTGCATGCCTCTTTTGTCATGTCCTTTAGATTTCTGAGTTATCGATTTGCCATCCTTAGAATTTGCATGTGGCGTTGCTATGTTCTGTTCAAGCTGTCTTCAATCCTATTCAGACTAGGTCTCCAGCTTTGTTGGTCGCGATAATGGGTCTGAGAACACGTAAATATGCTTGTGTTTGGAATAGGCTTATTCCGTTTTTGTTCGTATTGTTTTTCGTTAATACGCCTAATCCATAGTCTATTGTGTCTCCCATTCTCTAGGCTCAGATAAACAAATGAACCTCTTTCATTTACTTTCTGGCGAACATATTGCCACTCTATTTGGTCACTCTGAACTTTCTCTGGGTCTACGATTTCTTCCCGACTTGCGACATTTGATCACGGTGAGCTCGGACAGTTGTGTGTTTGTGTGGCGATTTTCTCCCAGCCTGACGCAGCACCTACTTGACCGTGTACACGCTTCCAAACGTTTTGGCTCTTGTGGTCGCCTCTCCGCTCCCCCCAGCGCTCCGCATTCGGTCGTTCCATTCCGTTTACCGCCGTCCTACCGCAGCAGACAGAGCCATTCAACCGAAGAGTTCATGAACTCATCACCAGATCTGAACTTGTTCGATTCCGACCGAACTGATATTGGAGATGAGGACAGCGAAAGTGATCTCATTGGGGTGGAAATAGACCGGTCACTCTCCCGAGGTTCCCCCTGGCCAGCTTCAACTGACCGAATCGACAAGTTGGTTTTAACTGCATTGATTTTATGCCTTTTTCGGACTGATTTGTAGTGTACACATGCTGCTCACCTTGCTTTGTGTTTCAGACATTGCTTATTATTATTATTACATTTGACCACTCTGCACCGAACCAGGTCTATTGATTGGCACTTTTCAGTTCCTATACGTTCCCAAATCCTAGGTTGTGTAAACGCGTAACCAGCGAATTCGGCATTTGTGTGCTGTTTGTAGTCTGGTCTCGCCTCTCTGAATTTAACGTGTTAAATGCACGTGTGGCGCTCAGTGCCCTAATGTATTCACCTTGCTCCCCAACACCACACGCTTGACACATCTCGGACGGAAGACGCGCTAGCTTAGTCACTACGTGTGTACGAGTGATGTCTAGCCGGAAGTGAGATACTGGTGGAATCTGCGTTGAAGACCTGGCCACTCCAAAGCTCGAGCAGGAGCCTTTATGATGACCATTGAGAAACGCATAACTAAACCATAAATTGTTCACGTTTATACAGTCACTGAATCGGAGCGATTGAATCGCTACTCCGACCCCTTCAGAAACCCACATTTGAATTCCTGATTGCTTCAACCAAGATTGATCGTGAGGACTGGTGACCTACTACTGAAGGTAACTACGAATTCCTTGTTCCTCGTTCTAGCTCCGCCTTTATTTGATTAGCTCAATTAGAACCTAAATGAACCGTTGACTGCACTGCTAATGAACCGAAGAATCACTACTTAGCAAGCAATTCCCTCGTAAGACCTACTCACTACACACTGATAAAATTTTAGAATATTTTGGTGATATGTTCAGGGAAGAGAATTGGATTAGCACCACTGTCCCTCGTCTTTCCCTTACAATGAGATGGTTGTTGGTTTTATCTCGATTACTAAAAATAACCAAGATCTGTGTGTGTATCCAGGAATTAACACCTGTCAGTGCCTGCAATTCTTGATGTTTATATTCTTCTAGATACATGTTTACTAGTACTTAAATCTGATTGATTTGTTCGATCGGGTAGTGTTCCTGACAGCCCCCAATCGTGTTCCATTTGCACCATTGTGTAACTTGACCTTTTTCAACCGAATGTTGCGCAATACAACAGCTGTAGCCACGATGTGTTGCGCGCTGCCACATCACAAACGCTTGGATTTAATGTTTCCTTTCTCATTACTCTTCGACTCAACAGTCCTCCGGCATCCTCATTCCTGCCTGGTTCCTATGACTCTACTTCTGAACGAAATCATTCGGAAGAAACCCAGTCCTCTTCACAAAGCGCACAAGGGAACAGGCCCGCGTTTTATTTTAGTGCCAGCGCACTTCCTGCATGGGCTCGCCGAAAGGTGCGTGGGGTGTAAACGCTCTGTACTTTGATTAGTTTACCATTGTTTATTTGATCTGCTTTTTCAAATTTGCAATATGTTACGCTCGCTTTATTATTACATTACTCCTTAGACCGACAGATCTCTTCGAGTAAATTTTAAGTCCTTACCTACTGTTCGTGCATTGTGCACGCTCATTGCCTATTTCTAGTGCGCCATTTCACGCTGCTTTGTGTCGACATCTGCCCCCGTGCCAATATCAGCGTGGCTTTCCGCCTTCTATTGACACCATACGACTTTTCGTACTCCATCACCTGTGACTCGTTTGCGCTCCCGACTTACATCGCAACCGGGAACAGGTTTGACTGAGAAGCATACCCTAGAGACTGTTCGAACCGCTCACTTTGCACCTTTCCACTTAGATACCCATCCGTTTGATGATAGAGCAGTACACCGCCACGACATTCTGTTAAAGTCTCTACATTGTCAGAACCGTTGAATTACGCTTTGATTCGGGTACTGCTCTGCTCCATAACTTGCGCTGCATAGTGCTGAACCCCGGTTGGACGACACTCACTAGAATCGCTCATATCTATAATTTAGGAGCTAAAGCGTACGTATTTTACATACGCACGCATAGACACGTTAATTTACTCGAATTTCTCTTTCTATTTGCATCCTCTATTAAATTTGAATTTGCCATGCTCCCTCGGTACTTGTCATTTTCGACCAACATTGAGATGTCGAGTTTCCAAGCGGGTCCTATCTTCCACGCATAAATCACCGCCCATCATTCACTGAATCATAAATGTGTCCGCATTGTTCAAATGTGCGGTGCTCGGAGTCAAACTTGTCACATTGCTTACATGTGAACTGTCCTCCACTGAAATAAAGCCATGTACTCCGCAGAATGCTATTAACAATAGCTCCAATGAATATTAGGTGCTACCCGCCCGTAAACATTCCATTCGACGACCGATTTCGAGTTTATTCGATCTCAACAGGAGGAAATAGCAGACATGGAACCCGGCACCATTGGGATGTGAGCCGAATCCCCTACCCCTTTAGCCACGGGTAACACTCTTCCCAACGGATAACAACTGATTCGAAAGGTTATTTTGGAGCACCCATTGTGTGTGTGTATCACAGTCCACGAACAAATATTTTCGGCAAATTCATGCATAACCCAAAGTCTGGACATTACATAAATTCGCCGAAATTAGCCTACTGTTCTGGCCTAATATCTAAACAGTAATCATGTCAAACGCAATGATTAATCGGAACCGCTCGCGAATGTATGTGTTGTTAGTGTGAGGTGTTTTAGTGATATTACACCCCGCATGTATGTGTTGTATAGCTTAAGAGGATCGTCTCATGGTACCCACACAAATCGATGAGTCCCATTGTTGAAATGTGCTTGGCGGACGCTGGGAATATATCACCCCGGTTATTGATGCTTGTTGGATGATGCATGGTTTTGAATACTTTATGGAATTCCTCGCGCACAAGTCGGGCTATGGCTTTCGCATGCGCGCCTACACAGTATTTGTTTAGCCATGGTAACTTGTTCTATTTGAAATGCTGCAATGTTCTCTTAAATCTTGCCGGCGTCCTCGTTGCAAATTGCCGGTGAACAGAGGAACAAATTCTTCAGAGTTGTCTCCCCCGGCTGCAGACTGTCGGCTAACCGCATCAATTCGACATCTTCATTTTACCAGACGGCGCTGCGAATGGCTCTCCTCGTTGTCATGAGGGCCCAGTGATCCTCGGGGTGTGTCCGCCAGTGGTGTATTATCAATACTTGCTGAAGTAAAAGATCTGTTGCAAACAAAGCAAACAGGTGTTGGCTCGTTGACCCGACGATGCTCTTGGGGTTGTCTGGTGTGATGTCCCATGCGGCGAGCCAATTCAGCCTGTGGTATATGATTCACTGGAGAGCATGCAGGTATGCATAGTGGATTCTGTGGTGGCAGTAGTTGGAGTGGAGACAGAGAGGGGGTTGGGTGGAGGGATTGAGTTCTATGCAAAATCCATGTTAATAATGGTCATTGACTGAGTGACCACAGAGCTCCGGTCACATCAATATAGATAAAGTGATGCCATTTAATACAAGTGAAGGGCAAATAAGTATTCCCTAGTAAAAATTGCATAACGCGCTAACAGAAAGAAACTAGGGAGTTTGTCAAACGCACAAGGTGGCAGTGACAGTATCAAAGCCATACATCCAAGCAAACAGCTTACGTATAATCAAGAGTAAAAAGCTAGAAACTGCAAATGATTTGGACAAGAGTTCTAACGGAACAATAGGTCAATGATTTCTCCGTTAAAATGAAGCTACGGGCCAGCATATTTTGAGATCATTGCAGTGAAACAAAGAAGCAGTACTCTTGATAAAGGAAGCCTGCCGAAATTGGTTGTTAGGGACCCAAAAATAATATATTTACACGTCCCACAACAGTTAATAAACCAGCAAAGTTGTACCATACTTACCTACATACAGGTCGAAAAACAAATGATCCATATGACTATAAACTAATCAATTACTGAAGAGAATAAAAACGGGTCTAGGAAAACTATATTAAATAGGTTAAATACTCGCATTTTCTGTTATTGCTAAAATATCGATCTATAGGCAGGTTTATCGCAAACCAATAAAACTAGTACCACTAATATCACGAGAACTTAGTAAGTAAATCTCTAAATTCGATGACATTCTGTGTCTGCAATTATGTTTTCTATACACTTTTCGATCAAGGAGCATTTACTTCGCAACAGTGAACATTTTCCATTAGAGATAGGAAATTTCTGTTAAGTAAATATGTCGTCATTGTTGTGTTTTCGGTGTGTAATATCGCCGTATGTCCTCAACCGCAAGACGTATTTTGTTGATTTAGCAACCATTAGATGCATCGTAAAAATACAACAAATGTCAGAGCAAGCGATATTTTACTAAAAATCAATACAAGGAGACTGAAAAACCTGAAAACTTTCACATCAGCTAAGAATGAGGAATGTACCATGAAAACGGACGTAACTTCAAAACCCTTGTACCGATTACAACCAGTTAATGCTTATTCCATGCGGCGACGAAAGCTCTGTCATGCTTGTGGTGCTTCGATGTTGCTCCTACCAATACTGATATCCCACGACCGGTTTTCTCCGGGTTTGGATTATGCCACTATCGTGTTTTAAGTGTCTACACTGGCACTGACTTATCGACCAAAAAAACTGAAACGCATCAAAGGTACGAATAAAACAGTACCAAGTTTGTACCCAATTCGCATACAAAGAAGCAAATCACATTAGAGAGAGCCAAATAAACTGAACACGAATAGCAGAAGAATTGAAAGAAACACTGCCAAACCTCTTGGGAAAGCCACTCTAGGTAAACCTACCGTACATTTGTTAGTCGTATAAGGGTATTCCACTTCTCCCGATTACTTCAATACAAAATATTCTCATATTCTTGCTAAAATAAATGCGGCGCACAGAACGAATATTTTAACTTGTCTGAAGTACAGATAAAATCCAATTAACGCAGAAACCTACAGTAGTACGGCCGCAGCCCGGAGATTGCGCGTCGCAGCCCCTTCACACGACGAATAGTTCAAATTGATCCCTCCAATCAACAGTGGGTATTTTTCACAGTGACGCGCGCGCACGAGAAAATTTGCACACACTTGCACTTAATCATTTGTTGCATGCTCCCTCATGCGCACCATATATGTGGATATTTTTAATTAAATGAATAAATAAATGGGATACTTTTCGACATTGTGAGGCTCATATTGTTTCTCTACTATGTGTTTCACTGGGCCTTGATTAGCTGGGTGGTTACGGAATGGAATCTCGGGTTTCGCAATGTCGATCTCATATGTCTGGTTTATGTGTTCAACATGGCCGCAGAACCGGAGTGTCATAATAAATTACTAGGTAACCGTTAACCTGCAGTAGATGAATTTAATGGGTAGTCGTTAACATATATCAGTTGCTTGGGCAATAGTGGTGGCTTACTGAGGGACGGCTTTATCTACCTACAAACCCCACCCTTGGTCTTTATTCCACATCAAAACATTTTCCCTGAAAGTTCATGACACTAACACACTCATCGCACGCCTCAAAATGTGTTGTAAGTCCAATGGCGCCTCGCATGATGAAGCCTTTCTTTTGAACACTTAGGACTACGTTATATCTCACTGCATCGACCGAACAATCAAAAGCGATAGCACATATATGTCAGCCACTGGCTACCCTATTCGTATCTACCTCAGTCACGTTTCTCTCAAGCTTATAGCGCGAAGATCGTGCGCTATATATCCGGTACGAGACTAGACGGACAACCAAAAGCAGTGGGTAGAACACACAAAAGTAAGCTATGGAAAAGGTTTATTGGACGGGAGAAGAGTTAGCTAATGCTAAAAGTAGGGCACCGGAAGGGAGCTAGCTAGGGATGATGTAGTTGGGCGTCGAGTGCATTGACGGAGTGTCGTTCGCAGTCGGGTCGCGCGCACCAAAGGCGGATATCGTGTTCGTGTTTCAAACAAACGGGAACAAGGTTCCAACAGGCAAACTGCCTAATTCCCTAATACATAAGAAAGCTATAATTTTAATATATTTTAGAATAGTTTACACATTCATACGGGGGAATCTCCTGATCACTATAATCTTTTGGATCTTAACGTGGTACGATTATTTATATGCCTCAGTGATCCATTGAGCTATGCTGGATGGTACTTTCTTGCACCCTCAGAACCACTCATACCATATTGGTCAATGGTTATAGGTCAGACAAACTCAACCTCCTGGTCCTCCAGGTTGGGGGTTGGAGTGAGAGTGGCGCTTGACTCCATAAAATGGGCTTTCTGCAGTCCAATGCTGAAACTCCGCTACCTTGCGGTAAGATTTTTGAACCAAGGGCTTTGGTTAAGAACCCTAATCGTTCTCCTGTCTAGGCATGGACTACCTGGCAGTATACTGCCCACACAATGCACCATGACATTTCCTTCTAACAATCTCTTGAT